GTTCAATTAATAAAAAAAAAAAAATGTTCGTTATACACAATGTGAAGTCCCTACAAAGAACTCGCACAATAACATTTATGTTATTTTATTAACAAGAATAGCGAGAATGATACAAAATTGAGCACACATGTAACACATTTACATGATAATATCAATAATTGTCGTATAATTCTAATATCTGTTGTATATTCTTTTGCATGTGTGTAAGGCTTTTAACTCTTTCAGTATAGATCCCACATACGAGATAGTCTTTCATATTTCCGCAATTTTTATTTCTGCCTCTGTTATGTTTATTTGTGAAATTTTCGAATGTACTCTTTTTAACCTTTGCCACTCATTCCAACTGGATTTAAATCTGGTTACTATAACTATTCAATACTTTCGACACAATGCATAGTAACCATTCTTTTACAATGTACATCGAATGTTTCGAATTGTTATCGCGCTGGAAATAATATAGGGCAAGCGTTTATACGTTTTTCTCCGATTGTTTCAATTTATTTTTTAATGTACCAGAATGTTTCATTTTCATTCGTAACTACATCTGCTAAATTCAATATTTCTAATTCCGATCGTTCCTTCGAATTCGATCCTTTTCCCGATTCATAATCGTATTATTCATAATTTATTAAACAGAAATTGGCAAATCTTTATAGAATTACTAGAATGACCAAAATGACTAATTGTTAAAAAGTCGCTAAAAATTTTTGTCACAGAAATTTGCTGCATTTTTTCTAATTCTCTCTAGTATTATAGAACAACGAGAAGAAAATTGAAATATCCACTTTGTTTGAACTCTAATATAGCGTGACATTTTAAAATTATGTATCTTTTATATTTCAATCTCTGAAATAGGCTTTGTGCCTTATAAATATTTGATCTTTGCCATACCATTAAATAATTTTTCAATTTTCACTTCATCAGAAAACGATACATTAGTCCAAAAGCTTGGATTTATATATGTTCGCGAATTTGAAATATTTGGAATCTACCGATCTTAGAATTGTAAGGTCTTTTACGAGCTATTCTTTCGTTAGAACTATACTTCTTGTACATTTACTGTTCCCATTGAATCGTTAAATGTCTATTACTAATTTAGGAATACCAATTTTAGAAGCTACATTAATTTGCTGAGCTGAAAATTATCATTCGTTCAAAATTCTTTTCGTCCCTCATTATATTGTGTTACATAATTGTACTGGTACTTGGATACAATACCTCCCATTATCAAAACAACAATGCATGTTGATAGAATTTTCGGACAATAGAACAATTATGTCTTTGATATTAAATTGCATGCATAATTGCATTTAAATGAAAATTGAGAAAACTGCCAGTTTATTTCAATATTTAGAACGTAATTTTTTTTTTTTTGTTGCTAGCACATAGTTTCTCGTCATAAAACATGTCTTCGTCATTTTCGTTAGTTAACCTTCAATCACGTTGATTTATTGCAGACTTAAAAATAGTTTTTTTTTATCCCATTAATAAATTCGTAAGATCTATCTCATTTTAATAAGTTCTTAAATAATATCTAATGATCATGTAGAATAGTGAGAAGAAGCATCTGTTCGGATAATAGGATATTCGAATAATGGAATCTTCGGGAGTATTATAATGAGGGTTGGCTTGACTAATAATATGGGAAGCCTCACTGTAGCTGTTCATAATTTTCCACATGATTGTATCTACGTATTATTTTCTCAATTTTTTCCTTATTCTTATACAAAACTTTGTCACCAATTTTTCATACAGAAATATCCGTTCTCTGTTCAGATATCATGTGTACTTTTGTTATTAAACAATAACAAAAATACCGATAGAGCAACGAGAAAAAAGAAACACGATAGAAATAATTCGAAAAATGACTATTTAAAAAACATAATTTTCAATCAATTTTTTTCTCTTGTCAATTTCTGTGAGCAAAATTCCACAAATGAATGATTAAATATTTGCTAGGATCTTGTGACATTGTGCATGCGAAATCTCGATTTACGAAGAAATTGGTTGTTTTTTTCTTAATCGAACAAACTTTTGTAATTTATACGTGGCCAATTTTTTTATACGTGACGATTGCGAACAAATTCTAAAATTGAATGGTTATCTAGTTTGTCTGTTTTTGTCAAAAATATAACCAATTTAATAAGAAATTATTATTATTGAAAATATATCTTCTTTTACGAATTCAAGATTACTTTGGTGACTGAATTATGTTGCAATATGACAGTGGAAAGTGATGTACAGATATAAAATTTCCTAAAAATATTAGTAAAATTATAGTGGCCATAGAAAGTATATTCGTATATTCAATGAAAAATTGTCGAAAATTTTAAACACTTGTAATTACAAAAAAGAAACAAGTTTTAAGACTTGGCGGATTTAGTTATGAAAAAGTTTTTCATATTTTTATATAGATGTTTGAATTTGTAAGATTTTCGAGTATCTTTATTTACCCAGCAAAATAAAACATTTTTTAAAGCAACTGACTTGATATTATAAAAATGGAGGTTTAACACTTTGAAATGAGTTATAGCAATTTAAAATATCGACAGTGACAATACTGTGCCGGTAAACTTCATAATTATTATATATAACTTCATGGAAAAAGATCAATAGAACAATTCATACGGGCTTTGTAATTTCTCAATATTGAATTTTCCTTTTAGAAATTCAAATGTGTGAAAAATTTTTTCCATAATTGAATTCATCATGATCTTGAAGATTGAAGTTTTCCCCATGAAAATTTCTTATACGAAATTTTTCATAAAGTATGGTTTTTCTGGTAAATTCATATTTTTAAGAATATAAAGAAAAAAAAAAAAAGAATAGAAATTTAATAAAAAATTATTTTGCATGCTAAATATTAAAAAGAATATTGTACCTTGGATATTTTATATATTTTCTTATATTATGCGTAATTTCATACTTTATAATTTCCTATAGATGCATAAAAATCTGCAATCGAGTTTATAGTGGATATTCTACGTCCACTAGAACTCTTTCATAAACACTTTAATTAATTAAAAAAACACTATATTATACTACTTTATATGACTATAGTACCATTGCATGCAACTTTTAGCCAGTCGGATCTTTCATTCAGGATGTTATGTTAAACAAAATATATGTTCTAAAGATTTTGACAAGTACTGACCTAACATCAAGTAGCAACTCGAGAAGAATTCTGGGCCAAGCAGCACGCTAAATAGTCCCAAAATTCCCTGTGGTAATTCAGTCAACAGAAAGAGCAGCAAGACTACAAGCAACATTATCGTAGTTCTATCAGTTTGTCGCTCTTTGTTCACTCTTTGGGAACTCTTCCTTTTTTTCGTATGTTGCTCTTGAATATTAGTTAACTTGTGTCTCCTTCGTTTCGCCTCTAGTAGAACTTGCAGAAGTTTCAAACTGACGATCGTCAGGATGACACAAGGAAAAAGTTTGATTACCACGCTATAAACCCAGAAATTCAGTTGCTTCAAAATATCATGATTCTCCACCATTTCCGTCAGTCGAACAAAGTAAAGGGTTGTATTCGTCGTGTTCCCTAAGGAGAAACATAAAAACATTCTCTATTCAATCGGAATAAACTCGTAATAATTATTTTAAATTTAATTTTAATATTTAAAGTTTAAATTAATTTTTAACACAGGGTAAATGGGAATCGAAAGCAATGTTCTGCGAATTTTTATTTTTTTTTTTTACAAAATATTGACAATTTTTTTATCAAGTGCACTCATTGCATAAATTTCCATAAAAATCCGCAATGTAATAACAGGGGATCAAAGTAACAAAGGTTCGATATTTTCAAACACATCATGCTGAAATCGCTGAAAAATTAAAATAAATAACTCTTTGACATTTCGTAAAATCGAAATAAATTTCTCACATTATAAAATTCCGTTTTTCGTGATGCTTTAGAATTACGATATCCACTGTAGAAATTTTGTTCTCTCAATTTAGTCTGTCTAAATGTACCAAATGGAGAGAACAAAATTTCCGCAGAGGATATTGTAATTATAATGTGGTAATTAGTAATTAGTGATGTAGCACAGTTTTACTGAAAATATAAAATCAAAGTTCGAAACTATGATCGTGGACGATGATAACAGCTATGTAATATTGCAATCGACCACGACTGCAATGTGGTTCAATCCTTAATTAGAGATATTACATGTCCCTAATAGAAATCTCAGCCTCTCTTTATTTTATTACCAATCTAATTGAATAGTTTAAAAAGAAAGTTTCAGCATTTGGGTGAATTGTACGAATGGACAAATGAACAAAATTATTAGATTCATTTTTCAAACGTAGTGACCTGATAAAATTACCATATAATCTGAAAGAAATGCGTTATTACATAGAGTCTGTATTTATATTACATTGCAAAAGTTTCTGTGTTATTAACTCATACTTTTCAATTGACTTAAACTCTTACAACTTGTAAATAATTTCAAACTTTTAATTTATAAGTACAAGCTTTATTTAATCCTTCTTTCATTTACTGTAATTTAGCTGCATAAATGTTATGATTTTTGAAAATTATATATGTGTTATTTAGTTATTATGATTTTTAAAAATTATATTTGTCTTATATTATTAATATAATCAATATCTATATTCATATTATATAATCAATTCAAGCTAACAGAAGATTGTAATATCTTCCATTTCTGATTGACAGTTTTTGTATTATTTATCATAATATGATAACTATAGATATTATAGGATGTTTAATTTTAATCTATAAATGCAAATTACTCGTAAACTGTTATTGAAAAAGAAAATAGTTCAGATAAAAAATTAATGATTTCTAGGTAATCACAATTTGATGAGTAATTTTTTTTTATAGATGAATACGTAGAGGTCGTATCAAGATCACCTTCACTTTTTCAAATGGGCTAATATATTTTTAAAATGCATTATTTCTCACAAAAAAAGTGTGTCAAGCTATTTGTGTCGAGAAATCATCGGTTTGGGAGATATTTTAACTTTAATTTTAATTTTAGGAAAGACAAGGGTATTCTCATGTTCATATTCTTTTTGTCTTTTATACATAGATTTTAGGAAAATTCAAGTTAAAATTCTTAACACTGGACAATGGAAAATGATCAAAATGACCAATATGTAGTTTTTTTTATAGTAACTTTATAAATTTATAACTGCACCTTTTTAGAAATTTAAATATATAAACAAAATCTTATACTCTATAGTATTATAGTATTACTTTTTCCATATTCTTTTTGCATTTTAATTACTTTGATATAATTACGTATTTTTGACATTAACAAAATTTTATAGGAAATAATGAATAAATACATTTTAAGAACACATCAATCTATTTGAAGAAGCGCTGATAACCTTTATGCTTTCGTCTATAGAAAAACTATGTACACCAGATTACGACCTCCTCGAAACCATTTCTTATCTGAACTACGATTTTACATAACAGATAGTTTACGAGTTTGCATTTATTAAATTATTGTATGAAATTTATAAGTTTTTGT